CTAATAGCCTATAGGCTCACTTGCCCTTCTTTGGATACTTCTTAATATTATTTATATTAAAATAAAGATATTTTATTTTTTAATATGTATTTTAACGTAATTATACAATTTGTAATAGTTCAATTATAATATACATATATATAATATTTTTATTGACAAATTGCATATTTATATTGCATATTTATATTGCATATTTGTTGTGATGGTTTAAGCAATAATACTTCTGAGTTTCTAAATATTTTACAAAGTGCTTTCTTTTATTCTAATCGTGAAAAATTGAATTTACCTTAAGCGACGGTATAATGAATCACTAGGATAACATCGAACTTCTAACTAGTTCGAGATACAAACGATAATGTAATCGGGATGTCTCTTTTATTACACGTCCATTTTTTAGTATCTTAAGTTTCATAGCGAAGAATTGACTGTGAACGCTCGAAGTTCGGCGCTCGCGCTTGTAAATAAACCGAGCAAACGGCGTGGCTTGTGTTGTGTACACAGAGTCGCCGCGTTATCATTTGTACGGCGTGACTGACAAGCGAGCGCCGTGAATCGCACCATGGTGCCGCCGCGTTATTACTCACTTCCCGAGACGCGACCGCGACAAGCTCCAAGAGAGACAAGCACTAGATATACGCGATTATTTCCCAACGATTGTCAACAGGTAGTGGCAGAGAGAACAACTACTCCGTTATTATCCTTCGGAACGCGACTGAAACAAAATTGAAAGCAAACGCGAACGTTTCCCATTAGCGACTATCAGAACACGCGCACTCGTTTAATTCCCGCGATTAACGTCCCGCGGTACAGCGGTGTTGTTTCGCGAAGCGAGTTGCTTCTTCGCCGTAATTCTGCCTCAAGTTGAATAGGAAATTAAGGTTGTAAATTACTGCCTCGTCGTGACATTTACTTGAACGTACGATGCATTTATCGATTACCAACAATATTTGCATTCGTACGTATTGAAACGTGATGCCCGTGCAATTCAATTTTAATGGTACACTTGGATGAGCTATTGGATCTTGCTGTAGCGAATTCGGTTGGACGCACTAGTGCGCACGTTGAAGCATCGTTGTATGTACACAACGGTGTACATAAATCGACTTAAAAAGATAGGTGTTTAATGTAAATATACAAATAGGTTAATATTAAAACCGCGGCGATCTAGAATCCTCCCTTAAAATCATGAATGGATTATTTATGATACATATTCTTTTGTGATTTTTTTGGATTTTAGATGGACGAAGATATATATAAATAAGATATTTATTTACTTCAGCATTCTTGCTAAAAAGGAACTTGGTTTACAAACTGTTCCTTAACTCATATTCATCTTCTTATTTCGTGACAATATATAACGTAACATTTTTGAAACAAATTTTCTAAACCTGATCTAACTCCATATCTTTACATTTGTATTTTATAACTTTACAACTATAGCTATAACAAAGTGGTAACTAAATACTTTTATTAATTCAATTTAAAATATTTTGTATTAATTAAATTACATTTAACTAATTCAGTCTACGCATAGCTATAGTCAGCGACAGTGGAAGAAAAACTATCAGACGGGTCAAAAATGACATAACCGTGGTTTTAGTGTTAAACTACAAAATCTCTTTTCGATATACTTTATTATCCTATTTGGCAAAATTTAATATAAATATATATATATATATATATATATAATTTGTATATAATATGTATATATATATATTTTGTATATAATATTATATTTTATATATATTATATTTGACGTTTTATCATTCGAGATATTTCATTCAGATCAGATCAATGTGCAACGGCTTCAATACGCACTAGTGCGCTCTAGTGCGTCCAATCGAATTCGCTATTAGGCACTGATCTGACTCGTGTGATACTAGACTGAAGTTGCAGGCGCAATCTCGAAGTTTTCAGTAATTAACAACGGAACGCCGCGAAACGGCAATAACGGTATAGATTGATTTCTAGTCGAAACCAGCGTCGCGACGCGTTTGATTGATACGTACCGATGTAAGTAATGTCGTATCTTCATATTGAGAGTGTGACGGAGATTCGCTACTTGTGCGTCGATGATTAAACGTAAATGCGTATTTCGTGAGATACAGAAGTATGTTCAATCGCGACAATCGATAAAGCGACCAGTATTGTTGCGCTCCGCCGACATTTCTTTTTGATTTTAAACCTTTATTTAATAATTAATAAGATTGAACAGCCAAAGACGAGTAATATGACTGGTTGTAAAAATTACTTTATTAATTCTAGTATAAAACGCCACGAAACTAGTTTCGATCCTTACTAGAACTTTCTCAATAGCATTAATAATTAAAAAAATTATAAAGAATCGCATAAATTAATCAGAAGAACATTATTATGCAATGATTAAAATAAAATAAATTATAAAGAAGCGCATAAATTAATCGGAAGAACATAGTCAAAACAATAAATAAATTTCACCAAAAACGTCATATCAATTCAACACATATGACTCCGTTTTTGGTGAAATTCATTTATTGTTTTGACTATGTTTTCCCGATTAATTTATGCGATTCTTTATAATTTATTTTATTTTAATCATTGACTACATAATATGTTCTTCCGATAAAATTCTTTATAATTTTTAAAATTATTAATACGATTGAGAAAGTTCTAGTAAGGATCGAAACTATAGTTTTGTAGCGTTTCCCGGGAAAAAAAGTTCCACATATAATTATATATTATAATTATATGCAAAATATGTTCATATATGTTTCTTTCCTTTGTAAAATTATTCTTTAATACAAAATTGATAATAATAAGAAAGCAACATAAAAAATAATTAAAAGAATAATTTTACATTGTTTTTTTTACAAAAAATAAAAGTTTGAAGAAATGAGAAAAATTGCTCATATATAATCATATATAAATGATTAAAAATATACATATATAATTATATATGAACAATATTTCTCATTTCTTCAAACTTGATTTTTTGTAAAAAAAAAACAATGTAAAAATGATTCTTTTAACTATTTTTTATGTTTCCTTCTCATTATTATCAATTTTGTACTAAAGAATAATTTTACAAAGAAAAGAAACATATATGGACATATTTTGCATATAATATTACATATAATTATATGTGGAACTTTTTTTCCCGGGATTTATACTAGAAAATGAATTAACAAAGTAATTTTTACAACGCTCGTCTTTGGCCGTTCAACCTTATTAATTATTGTATTTATAACGAGTGAAATTTATTAAGAACATTCATTTACTTGCGTTTCGATATGACACGGTGATCGCCCTGAAGGTAAAAACAATCCGCGAGAGCAATGTTTATCACGCACAAGTGTAAAAGGTGCGCGAAGGTGCAGGTAGAAACGTGACGTGACTTTCGCCGTGACGAGGCCCGAGGGTGATGTTGGACGCGCGTGAAGTTGGCCGCGCGATTTACGAATTCGCTCCGACATTTTAGGCTAGGTCTCTACTCCGTCGCGTTGCTTTGGCGAGGCGAACCGAGCCAGGCGTCCAGCGTATCCGCGCGCGTTTTCCTCGCGTTATTCATTCGCGAAATGTATAAATACGGCGCGCTCGGAAAGTTCGACCGTTCAAAGTTTCATGCGCGAGTGTTGATTTTGCTTCAATAACGAATGCATGCGCGATCGTTTTCGCGAGTGAGCGTACTTAACCTATGCCGCGCCGCGTCGAGGGACGAGGTATCGCGCGAGTGTCGTATTTTGTGAAATTCAGGAGCTCGGTCGTGGCCATGTTTTCGCGAGCGAGCATGTTTAGCTCCGAGAGTGCCATGCAAAGTGCCGCGCAATCACCGTGTCTGATAATTAGTGTGCGATCGTAATTGCGAGCGAGTGTAGTGCGAGTACCACGAACGAACGATGACGAAGGAAGCTGAGAGCGAAAGTAGGCCCGGTATCAGGCGGAGCAACTGTGTGGGTGAGTTTCTAATTTAGTTATTATTTCCGTATTTGTGGAAAATTGTATGCAATGAAAATTGTATAGTTATGTCTAATAAATAAATTAATAAATGTCTATTTGAAAGAGTGCTGAAAGGAGTGAAAGATTCAATATATGTAATGATTATTTAAAATAATTATATACAATATTTTATAATTTTGGGCGCTGTTGTATAATTTATGGATATATTTGTAATTTACAGATTACGTTACATTACAACTCCGCTGCTACGCGTCGTATGGGTGAGTCAGGATATCTTTTAATCTTGAAACAATGGATTTATAAGATAAAATTATCCACATAAAATGCATATCCGTATGGTCAAAGAATCAAGTTAAAAGCATAAAAGTATTATACAGAATAATGTATAATGTAGATGTAATATTTCATGGATTTATTATTATTTTTTTTTAACCAAAAGACTAGAATTTAATCGTACAATTATCCGACGATTGATTTATTGTGTATTTATGACACTGCACATATACGTATACATATATTACATTTATAAGGTAGAGCTTTTATTGGCATTTTATCTTATAATACATTAATAATAAATACGAACCTGAACAAATAATCATGCAGTTTATACGCGGATATCCGAATGTATGCAACAATGAATTAATTTTTTTTTAATTCAATTAGTTCCGTGCATTCTCTCCACGCGAGAGAAGAAAGATGATCGGACGACTCTTACGTAAAGGGGAGTAATCGCAAAATTTATCTCGAGCTCGAGTTTATTTTCGCATTCGCCCGGTATGGTAAAACTACAAATTATCATATTCCGTCTTATCGCCCCGAGAATGCAACCGCGTTTTTAATTCAGCCGACAGCGACGGCGGCGACTCGAGAAACGTATTTCGCCTCGGCGAGATCGGACGAGCGTGATACCGGGCGTGCCGCGCCGCGGCGCGACGTCGAGAGTGCGCCCCGTTATTAAATCACGGCCGACGTGTGTACATCGCGCGGTCTGCGTTATAGCAAATACACGCTGCATACACGCCTCGTGGCGTCCCCGACGATTGATAGATACCGCCGCGTCGTTCGATATTTCAAAAGCGCATTGTTCGACACGGACTTTGTCTACGCGCGTCCCAATAGGCGGCTTCCCCCAGTTATCGTCGCATCGTCGTCGACGTGCATGCATAATTCCGCGTGTTGCACGTAGAATGCACGAGTGAGATTAAACCTTGCGAAATGGGTTATTGTGCATCCGCACGTGGCGCAAGTGCTTAAATAGTCATTGCCGGTGCACCATATACGATTGCAGTGCTCGAGAGCGCTGCAAATATACGATCAATGCTCGTCTTTCGGCGTAGGTACGCAAATCGCCCGTGGTAGCGCAAGTTATTATCTTTCATTACACCGCGCGCTCCTTGATCGCGCCCTTAAAAATATGTCCTCCACCTCCATTCGACTTGCATCTTAATTTCTGCACTTTGCATAATATATACTCTGCTAATCTGTAATTTAGTAATTTATTTCGTATAAAAAGAAACGCCTGCGCCCCTTTATGATTTTTTTTTATCTAGATTTATGTAGCTTTAATCTCAAATTTATATTTAGTTCAGGTGCGACGACTATTAGTGAATTTTATATTGAGAGAGATATCGAGCACGCCCTATGCGCACGCGATAATGACGTAAAGATCGCCACGATTTTCCGACCGCCGCGGCCGTCGCCGTCGTCGTCGAGGACTTTGCGTATAATTTCGCCGAAGCAAATTTCGTTGTGCGCGCAGACGTTTAAAATATGCGGCAGGCGGTACGAACTCAATTTACCGTCGGTACATATACCGAATGAACTTCCCTATCAGACTGGAGAAGGGAGCTCAGCGGAAATCGTTGCCAAGAAAAATAGTAAGAGCCATTCACTTCGCCGCGTAATGGAGTTAAAGGATTTAGAATTTGGCACGCGCGGGTGGATCGGATCGCGGCGGCGGTGGCGGCGGCGGCGGCGGCGGCGGCGGCGATGTCCCGGTCGAAAAAGCATCTTAACCCACGGATTACGGGATCTCGTACATACCATTCGTAGAATGGATCATTGAACGTCGGTCGGACAATAAAATGCGCCATAAAGGCCGCTAGGTCGCTAATTATATCCCCGAAGGGAAAAGCCGAGCATAAAGAAAAAAAAAAGATAACATCGTCGAAAGACAGAAAGGAAGAGAGAGCATTCTTGGAATACTTGCACCTGACGGCACCTGTTTCTTAATTGGCTTCCTGTAAAAGATGGAGGGAACGAACGACGAGACTCTCGACAATGATTTCAGGCGTGAAGTTCTATTGCGCGACGATCGTGTTTTCAATCGTCCCCCGTTATCCGCTACGCACGCATTATTGCCCGAGTATTTCTTTTTATCGCGTATAATACAAGTACGTTTGATCGCGTGATCGAAATTCGTTGCGCAATGAATCCCGCTCTCGATTATCGTGCTGTAATTGCACCGATTGTTGATGCGATAAGCACGTATTATTATTTTTGTCGAGTACATATATATTCTCGGACTGTCGTCGTGAAGTACAATTTCGTGCATTTCGAGAGAATTTAATGATTGATTTGACTAACGGTCGGTTGCGAGGGAACAATTCACATTTTTTCTTCTTTTTGATAACAGAGAGAAATCAAGAGCAGAAATTTTACACAAAATATTTTTTAAATCAGAAACCCTTATTTATTCTAATTATTATAAAATAGCAATGAAATATTAATTATCTGCACTATATCTTTTTTGTTGCGATGTTGCATTTTGGTTCGACATTTTTGCATGTATATTTCATTTTGTTTCTAGAATTAAGTTTGCTCGTATGTGTACCATCCTTAAGTTCACCCGCAATATTAGCATATGAATTTTCATGAGTGTAATATTCATGGACGCTGTTTGTTTTGTGGCAGTCATGTATTATATGGGTGGGATCCAGCTAAAAACAAGTTTAACAACAAAAGCAAATATGGCCAGCTATACAAGCGAACTATATCTAGATATTTGCTGAAACGTGTTTTCCTAACAAATTTAAAGATAATTCATCTTTCCGACGCGAATTCGATTGAGCAAAATATCCTATTATGTAACTTAAAAACTTCCGATATTAAATATCGCGGTAAGGCTTATACGATAAAGGAAAGCTAGCAATTGAGCGGAGAATAATTTTGTTACTTGAGCTTTTCGAGCTTGAATCGGATAGATCTTTAAAGTAGAAATGTTGATATAAATTACAGCTATATATTTATGTTTTTTAAGGGAAAATATTATTTTTACATGCATTCCTGAAATTCAATATAAATAGCATATCTCACAATCATAGGGTTGATTTTAATATCTGCAACTAGAATGTTCATAAGTGACTTTTTAAAAATTTTTAGAAAAAATCTTTAGAAAAATCCGCTCGATTATCGGTCGCAATTTTCATGATCTGCGCATCTCCCGCAATATGTTATATAATTTAACTCGGCGAAATTCGCGAGATCGCGGGAAATGCCTCCGCTAGTTAGCGGCGCGCGTTGTGATTGTTTGCGACGCGCCGAAAATTTACTCATCTCCATACGCGCGCGATCAGGCTCCGGCGTGATTCGCTGGCATTCATGAACCAGCAATTTTATCGACAAACACCGGACGACGTTCAAATACATATTTAATGCCCGTGTGTGTATGCACTTGTGTGCGTATGCGTAAACATGATTTTGCGCATCGAATACGGGCCGCGCGGTTTGCACAGCTGATGGATCAATACAGGACATTACCGCGACGAGTAATAAGTTGCCAATACCTGATTCATCACCGTCAATACCGTCGGAGTACATCGCGATAATTAGCCGGTAATCCTTGAGCGTTCGATAACCGTGCGAGCGGGGCGAGCGTATAAGGTACATTGACGCGCTACACGCGTGACAGCGCCGCCGTGTGCGCGTGAACGCTTCCCGTAAATGGTAATTACCGTCCGGAGTGATAACTTTGAAGATACCCGATTAATGCCGGTTCCGTGGTTTAGCATAAGCTAAGATTATAGGAGACAGCCCGTGTTATCGAAGTCAATATCGTCAGGCTAGCTCAGATTGGGGAGCGTATAGCGATATACGATGATGATAGTGCCTTAGAATGGCACAACGATGATAAGCCGTAATTGCAGCTCCTGCAGAAACCACTTAGTCTGCATATATATTATTGCGCCATAACGCTATCTATTTCGTTTATCGAACTAATAAACCTACGGAAATATTGTGTCGCATGTATGTAATACAATTAAAGCAGTTCTTCACTTCGTAACGTCTTATCTCGCTAACTTTGCTAATCGATAAAAAGTAATTATTTTCGTAATTAATTGCGATAATTTATATGTTGAATATCCACTTTATAATCTACCACCTCTTTCGTATGTAATCTGCGCTCGTGCGTTACTCCATTCCCCATAAAATAGACGAATGGCAACGAGCCCGTCATCGCTATTTATTACCTACGCGCTTAGGTTACCAGATAATTTCGCTATTCTACACGTGAAGTACGGCGTAGACGACCGGCGCTGGGGTTTTGGTTCTTATGAAATATAAACCATCGCACCGCACGATCGTTTGCGGCATCGTGCGCAACCCTCGAAATGCATCAAGACTACATGCGAGTGCTAAAGCGCTCTCTCTCTCTCTCTCTCTCTCTCTCTCTCTCTCTACCGCACTCCCGCGTATATTTCATCATCATAGGTTCCGCGGTGTTGTCGCGGTCCTTCCTAGGTATATATTCCTCTTGCGTTAAGAATACAACGAAATAAAGTCCATCGATACGGTCGATGCGCGCGGCCGTGGCCGTTTTCGCGATTACGATCCGGGAAAAGTTCACCGTGTGACACCCAGTGTGACTCACCGGCGCAATATTGTGGTAATAAAGACATTTGGCGGATATCCAGCTGCGTGTATGGGATTTTACCCTACTGTAAACAGTCGTTTCGCGAAGACGGACGGCGAAACTTTGCAAGCGGTGTGTATACTCTTCGCGGATTTGACGAACTCTCTTGCTTCCTTCCTTCCTTCCCACCCCTGCCTGCGAACGCACGCTGCACGCGTTTCAGATTCTTCCACAGCGCGCTTCCTCGTTGTCGGGGGCGGGGGGGCGAGGGGGCTCCGCGCTCCGCGCTCGCTAGTTTGAAAGAACTCCGCGTTTCTCTCTTTTCCCCCTCCCCTCTCGCCTTCCACACCGCAACCGCGATCTCGCTCATCGCATACGAATCGTATTACAGCCGCCTCCCCGACGATG